AAGCATAACCTAAAATGCACAAACAGCAGAAGAGAAACTAGATGAATGGGACCCTCTAAAAATTAAATTTTTATGTGCTTCTGAACACTTCTCCAAAAGAGTCAAAAGAGAACCTGCAGATTGGGAAAAAATACTCGGCAATGACATATCTGACAAGGGACTTATCTCTAGAACTTATAGAAAATTCCAACACCTCAACAACAAAAAGACAAATAATCCAATTAAAAAATGGGCAGAAGACATGAATAGACATTTCACCAAAGAAGATATTCAGGTGGCCAACAAACATATGAAGAAATGCTCATGATCATTAGCCATTGTCGTTGTTGTTTTTGTTGTTGTTATATGTCATCAAGTCGAACCCGACTTATAGCGACCCCTCATTGGGTTTCTGAGGCAGTATCATTACAGAAGTAGATTGTTCAACCTTCCTTCCGAGGAGTGGCTGGTGAGTTTGAACTCCCAGCTTCTGGTTAGTAGTCAAGTGCCTTAGGCATTAGGCTACCAGAGCTCCTCATTAGCCATTAAAGAGATGCAAATCAAAACAACAATGAGATACCATCTTGGCCCAGCACTGGTAGTAAATTTCAACAAGACAGAAAATAACAAATACTGGCAAGGATTGCAGAGATTAGGACTCTCATACACTGCTGGTGGGACTGTAAAATGGTACAACTATTGGGGAAAGCAGTATGGTGATTCCTTAAGGAGTTGGAATTAGAAATACCATTTGACCCAGCAATTCCATTACTAGGTATATATCCTAAAGAAGTGAGAACCAGGACAAGAATAGATATATCCACACCCATATTCACTGCAGCACTATTTCCAAAGCCAAAAGATGGAAACAACCTAGATGTCCATCAACTGAAGAATGGATAATTATGGTACATACACACAATAGAATACTATGCAACCCCAAATAATAACATAGAATCTACAAAACACCACATAACATGGATGAACTGGAGGACATTATGCTGAGTGAAATAAGTCAATCACAGAAGGACAAATATTTTATTAGTCCATTATAAAAAGTCAAGGAAATGTTTATATATGGAAGGAAATTTTATTTGTTGCTTATCATGGGTGGGAGAGAAGGGGAGGGGACACTGCTAGATACGTGGAGACAAAGTATTGATTTGGGTGAAGGGAAGGCCAAAGTACCAAATGTGAGTGATCAACATGGTAGCATTGAGGAAAATGAAGATATAGCTAGGTATATGGGAGGTACAGACAACAAAAATTGAACCATTTTGCACATACAGTACTGTATTGTCAGTGAAGGCAAACATGGATGTAAGCCTGGTGGACAGGCTGAATGGTTAGGTATGTCTATGCAGGGGGAAGTGTGCCCAAGA